CTCGCGGCCCCTCTTCCTGGGAAACCAGGTAGAAAGTCAAGAAAGTGTCCCGGCAGGGAAGAGGTACTTTCTGCAGCCTTTCCCCGACCACGTGACCACGCTGGGCTGAAAGAGGGAACAGAGGCCCTGGCGACGCCCAGAGCAGGTGGGAGGGCGGATTGGGAGGAGGAGGTGGAGGAGGAGGGACAGCGAGGCTGAGACGGGACTGCGCCTGCGCCCTGGGATTCAATCGCCTGCTCCAGAGGCTTCCGGGTTCGCGCGCTAAACCCTCCCCGGAAATGAGAGGGGGGGTTGGAATTCATTGGCTGGGGTCTGAGGAGGCAGTGGGATCTGCGGAATTAGGATGAAATGTCGTTGGGTCGCCCAAAACCTCCGCACATTGGAGGAAAGGGGACTGGGACAAAGGCGCTTGGAGTAGAGTGTCCATTATTTAGTTTAAAATACTGGCGTCCTTGATGCCAAAAGCATACGCTGCGGGGTTGCGGGTGGGATTACAAGGTTTCCCGGCTTTGTGGGATGACGTGGATTAATGAGACGGAGTAAGCCGTCTGTCTTGGAACGCAGACTTTAAAAATTCTAAACTGGCAGTTCTTAGAAGTTTTGGAATCCAGACCTTTTTTGTGCTGTTGCTGTCATCAAAGCAGTCGATCCACCCATTCTGAAAAATCCTAGTGTGGGAGTGTCACCAGGTTGGGTCTGTGAGGTCCCCAAGACAGAAATAAAGAATTTATCTCATCTTTTAAAAATAAGTTTGCAGGTTCCCCCTCTCTTATTGCAAAAACAAATTTCAGATTGCATCAGTAAGAGACGTGAGGTTTATTAGAGATACAGTGTGCACTAAACGGATGGAGAGCGGGTGTAGGGCACATTTAAAGGGGTGCCTTTAAGATAAATGATCTAGGAAGTGCACTTGCACTGTTAGGTTAACGTGCAAGCCATCTGTATGCGTTTGAAGTGAAGATAACACTGTCGAGATAACGCTCTCCATAGATGCAGAGTTGCACTACAGTTTCGATACGTGGTCGCCAAGGCAGACGCTTCCTGGGCTGGAGGGAAAGGCAATTTGAAGCTGAAACGGACCGGTGTAGTGCCATCCTAAAAGGACCTTTAGGAATTTAACGTATTTTGTGAGGAAGAAAGTGGCGGTTACATGCTAGGGTGGCCTCTAGAAGCAAAGAAAAAAAAGTTCGGCTTCAAGCTGCAGTTTTTTAAGTACCATTTTAAAATCTCGATTTCCATATCTCCTTTCTGCCTACTTTTTTTTTTTCCTGTCCTGTCTCAGGAGTATGATACAAAGCAGGAGTTCCCTATTGTTAGAGGCAGCCATTTTTCACAACTTTGTAGTTTTAGTTCTTATTCCTAAAAAAAATTCTAAGTAAAATAGTTAGGCTATTTCTTTGTTTATTGCAGTTGCCTTTTGACTTCATGCCATAGCAAAGATACAGCAGGTCATGCTCTTCACCTTTCCCAACGACATACCTCGTTCCTTTTTGCAGTGTCTGTACTATGAATAGGGCAGAATGAGTGAGGCATATTAATCAAATACATAATTTAACGGAGGGTTGGGGATTTAGCTCAGTGGCACTGCACCTGCCTCACAAGCACAAGGTCCTAAATTCGCTCCCAGTACCAAAAAAAAAAGGAAGCCAAAATATACTCAAGATTAATAACATTTGAATGCAAATTTGCTTTTGTGGTTCTGAGGATGGCACCCAAGGCCTCCAGCATGCTAGGCAGGTGCTCTACTACTGACCTATATCCCCTAGCCTGCAGTATTTTTTTAAATGCAAAAAGAACTGCAGACAAACATGATCATTATTGATTGTTCTTTTGTCTCAGGCTCCAGTGTACCTGGGCACGGAAGTATTTTAAATGCCGCTGAGCAATAAAACATTATGTAATTGCTTTACTGTGGATTTTATTCCTCCTGTCAAAAGCTGGCACTCCACACTTGATTTTAGCCAAAATGCTGAGAAGCGATGAAAACAAGCTGGCATTCCATGCTGGGCACACATGCCTATAATCCCAGCACTGTGGGAGGCTGAGGCAGGAGGATTGCAAGTTAAACGCAGCCCAGACAACTTAGTATCTTATTAAGACCCTGTCTCAAAATAAAAAGGGCTGGAGTGGAAACTCAGTGTGAAGGCACTGGATTCAGTCCCTGATGCCACACACACATACACAAAGCTGGCTTACCAAATATAAACAGTGAGCCGAGGATTTAGCTCAGTGGTTCTGCCACCTGCCTGGCAAGCGCAAGGACCTGAGTTCGATCCCCGGTACCAAAAAAAACCAAACCAAACCAAAACAACAACAACAACCAAATATAAACAATGAAAGCTATTGATAAGATAAAATCGAACAAAGCTTAAGCAGTATCTTGGGATGGTGTGGAGGGGTCAGAATTTATTGAGAATTAGAAGTTTGGTCTTTGAGTTCTGGATCTTGATTATAAGTAGATAAGAATAACAGTCCCAAATTGTTGGAAACACAACAGCAAGGAAAATTAGTCTTGGTGGGCAGACTGGATGTTGATATTCAAACCATTTGCCTGGGTAAGTAGTCGGAGAAGAGTTAAATGCTAGTGAAAGCAGAGTTTTGGCAGAGTTCGTATAGGCAGTGAGTGTGGCTTTGGATCTGAGGGTCCAGGCTAAGAGTGAGGGCAGGCGCATTAGCCTTCATGCTCCTCTTCCTGTACCTCTTCTTCCATTAATAAATAGTAGCACACATGTAATTCTAGCACTCAGGAGGCTGAGGCAGGAGGACCGCTGCAAGTTCAAGGCTAACCTGTGTTACATAGTGAGCTTAAGCCCAGCCTGAAATAAATACCTAGACCTTTTCTTGAATAAATAAATATTTAATAATATTCCAAACACTGTTAGGCACAGAGGACACAGGAGAGAGTACAACAAAAATCCCTGCCCTCATGGAGCTGGCAGTCTAGTGGACCCATAGGCTTTAAACAAATCCAATTACTTGAAATTAGATTATTTAGTAATAAATTAAGTTAATAAAACAGCTGGGCATGGTAGTGCATACCTGTAAACCAACACTTGGGAGGTTGAGACAGGATTAAGAGTTAAAGGCCAGGGCTGGGGATGTAGCTCAGTGGCGCTGCACCTGCCTGGCAAGTGGAAGGTCCTGAGTTCATTCCCTGGTACCAGGAAATTTAAAAAAAGAGAGTATAAGGCCAGCCTGGACTATGCAGTGAGACCCTGGCTCAAAAAAACCAACATAATGCCAAATGTGGCACATACCTGTAATCCCAGCACTTGGGAGGCTGAGGGCAGCCGTGTGAAGGCCCAGGAAAATCTCATGGACGCGGACAAGTCCTGAAGGACAGGGGAAGGCAAACCAGGACAGAAAAGTGCACGAGGTGTGGACCTCACGGGGCATTATAGGCCCAGGTCAAGATTTTTAATTCTAGTGGTCACAGAGGAAGGTTTGCTTAAGTTTTCAACAGGAAGTTATGGTCTGAGATCGTTAAACATGTAGGAAGGTGGAAGGAATACTACTGTGAGCTCCGTGTGTGTGCCTTTCCCAGGTTCAGCAAGTATTAACCAGTCCTCTGCCATGTTCCTCTATATTGGTTTAAGTACGTTCTATAGCATAAAAGCTCTTAGAATATATTTTTGTTTTGTCTTGTTTTGTTTTGAGGTGGGGGGCTCTCCCTTCATTGCCGAGGCTGACCTTGAACTAGACTCAAGCAGTCTTCCTGCCTCATCCTCCAAATTGCTAGGACTCTAGGTGTATGCCACCATATTTGGCTTTTACTATGTATCTTATGTTTGTTTGTTTTTTTTTACTGTCATCATATTTGGAAATATTAACAAAAGTTCCTTAACCTCATCACAGGTTGAATTACCTAAAAGAAGGGAAAAGGGGATTAACAGTTACTTTGTTCAAATCTAGCCAGGGATGGTGGTGTACATCTGTCATCCCAGCACTCGGGAGGCTGAGGCAGGAGGATCACTGTGAGTTCGAGACCAGCCTGGGCTATATAGTAAGTTCCAGGTCAGTCTCAACTATATAGTGAGACCCTTTCTTAAAATAAAAAAAAAATAAAAAAAAATAAAGATTTGTAATAATTTCCATGAGATGGAAACTTTTTTTTTGGTGGTACCAGGGATTGAATGCAGGACCTTGTGTTTGCAAGGCAGGTGCAGTGCCACTGAGCTATATCCCCGGCCTGGAAACTTTTTTTTTTTTGGTACCAGGGATTGAACTTGGGTCCTTGCGTTTGTGAGGCATGTGGCAGAACCACTGAGCTAAATCCCTGGCCCACTTTTTGTTTTTAAAGATGTGTGAAGCCAGGTATGGTGGTGTATGCCTGTAGTCTCAGTTCTCAGGGGGCGGAGACAGGAGGATCGCTTCAAATTTGAGACCAGCTTGGGCTACACGGTGAGTTCAAGGCCATCCTGAACTACACAGTGAGACCCTGTCTCAACCCACCACCTCCCAAAAAAGGGATGTGTGAAACCAGATTTCTTTGGGGCATGGGCTCGTAATTATGGACAGCTGGGAAGTCCCCCAACAGGTCACCTTTAAGCTGGAGATCCTGAAAAGCTGGTCTTCTGAGGCCGTGGTTCAAAACATGACCTGTAACTTGACTATATATTCACTTAGTTATCTTTTGTAGTACCAGAGATTGAACTTAGAGCTTTCACACTGAGCTACACTCCTAGCCCTTTCTTTCTTTTTTTTTTTTTTTTTTGGTACCGGGGATAAAACTCAGGTCCTTGCGCTTGCGAAGCAGGCAGCAGAACCACTGAGCTAAATCCCCCGGCCTCCTGGCCCTTTCTTAAACTTTATTTAGAGACAGGGCCTCACTAAATCGCTCAGATGGGCTGGGGATTTAGCTCAGTGGCACCTCGCCTGCTGTGCAAGTGCAAGGTCCGGAGTTCAATCCTTGGTACTGGAAAAAAAAAAAAATCAATGAACAATAAAAAATTGCTCAGGTGGGAGTCAAACTTGTATTCTTTATGCCTCAGCCTCCCTCAGTGCTAAGATCAAAGAGTGCACCACTATGCCTCGCTTATTTTATTTTAATTTAGTTTTTAGATATTTTTGAGACAGGGTCTTGGTCTATAATTCAGACTGCTCTTGAGTTCACTATGTAGTCTAGGCTGGCCTCGAATTCACAGAGATGTTTCTGCCTCGGCCTCCCAAATACTGGAATTACAAGGGATTGTCATCTTAAAGAATGGTCATTTTATGAATGAGTTTTAGACTTATAAGGGTCTGTGTCTCCAAAGATTTAATTCTATTGTATGATAATCAAGGCCAGCCTGAGCTACAGTGGACCCTTGAGCTACAACCAGCCTGATATATGAACAACTTGGGTTATGACTGGAATTTTAATTTTAACCCAGGCTGGCCTCTAACTCATGGCATTCTTCCTGCCTCAGCCTCCTAAATGCTGAGACTACAGACATGGGCTACCATGTCTGGCTGGAACTAGTTTTCTACATGTTACTGGTCTTGTGCATCTACTGATCTGTCTTGTGATCTGCTTGGTTTATTAGGAATCTTCAAAATCCAACCCAATTCTATGGTTACAAAATCTAAGAATGCTGCCAAATCCTGGGATCTATTACCTCCCCTGGGAGGTTGCCGCTGGCCATGTTCCTGATGGAGGTGCACTGCGCACATTTGGCAGGTAAGAGTGGGCATTTTCCACATGGGGTACTGGGGATTGAACTCAGTGCCTTTACAGTGAGCTACATCCTCAATCCATTTTTTTTTTTTTTTTGATACTGGGGATTGAACTCAGGATCTTGCGCTTGTGAGGCAGGCAGCAGTACCACTGAGCTAAATCCCCAGCCCTCAGTCCACTTTTATTTTGTTTTGTGTTTTGGATTTTGAGATAGGGGCCTCACTTTGTAGTTCAGGCTGGTCCTGAACTCACTGTGTAGCCCAGGCTGGCCTTGAACTCGTGGCAGTCCTCCTGCTTCAGCCTCCCGAGTACTAGGATTTCTGATGTGCGCCACCATTCCTGGCTCCGTTTTTATTCTGAGACAGAGTCTAAGTTGCTAAATGGCCCAGGCTGGGCTGGAGCTTGTGATCCTCCTGCCTTCCAATGACAGCCTGCCCCTGACAATATGGTTTCTCCCCAGGGGTTCGTGAGTGCTTGTACCCCAGCAGTTTGTCCCTGAGACAGAGCGTGGAGGGGGGCACAGTGTGTTTTATGACCTAGCTTCAGAAGCCATCTTCCATTTCCATAGGCTCCTCCTGGTTTCGGAGGTCAGCCCTAGGCTGTGTAGTAGGGTGCTGCCCAAGTGAACCCCAGGGGATGTGAATCACTGGGGCCTTCTTGGAGAAATGCCGAAGGACATGCTCTAACCTACGTGAAATCCTACTGCATGACTGCATGGTGCCTTCTTTTCTGTGGGTTGGGGATCAAACCCACATGCCAGGCAAAGCGCTCCACCACTGAGCTACACTCCAGCCCTATACTGTGTCATTTCTTTTCTTTTTTGTTGTTCATTTGTTTTGTTTTGGGGGACAAAGATACAAAAGATAGCAGTAAAGTTAATAGGCAAATATCTCACAGCCCACCATGTAGACTGAAAACATTTGTTGCTTCTACTTTTATTTCTCGGGTCAGATAGAGGCTTACCGTGGATTTCCATGCATTTATCGGCCTCCAGAACCTTTTGAGTTCTGTGGTGGCTCTAAATGACCACACTTCCTCTGCCCAGGTTGTGCCTCTACGACATGACGCAGTCCCGGGCGACCCTCGTGGCTCAGTGCGGATCCGATCAGCACCAGGTTCTCGTGTGCACCAAGTTGGTGGAGCCGTTCCAGGCCCAGGTGGGCTCCCTATACGTGGTCCTCGGCGACCTGGAGCACCAGGATGGTGAGTGCGGCCCACACTCCCCGCTTTCCCATGGGCCGAGCTGGTGCCCGTCTTCCAGGGACTCAGGAGAGGGCAAAAGTCAGAGAAGGGTAGTGACGAGAGGTCACCGTGGGGACTGTGAGAAAGGAAAGAGGAGCCGTTGGTTTCTGAAGGCCTAGGCCTGGTGGAAGGTGTCGGACTTCTCTACCCGCCTGTCCTCGATCTGAGCCTTACTGATGTTTCACGAATGAGTAAAGTAAACCAAGGCCCAGATGAGATAGGGCTGGAATGAGAATCCAGGAAGTCAGGGCAGGGGAAAAGGGATGCACAGGAAGGAAGGAAGTGGTCCAGGAAAATCTCTCCAGCGTCGAGAGTTGGAGGCAGTGCCTGCCTGGGGTGACACTCGGTGGTGGAGTGGCCGGCCCAGCCCTTGAGCTCCTGGACTTGAGCCCTGCCTGTGCACACCACAGGCAGAGAGGAGTTGCAGCAGGGTTGGCAGTGGGGCCGAGGGAGCCTAGATTCTGCCCCCAGCTTGGCACAGACACACACAAAATGTTGAGAAATCACTTTGCCTCTCTCTGGCGTTTTTTAACTCTAGATGAAATACACCAGGGGAACATTAATTAGATGTGATTTAATAAAAGTTAATCTTTATTCAGGTTTAAGCTGCTGAGCTCATAGAGTTCCTACCCTCACGACTGATTTGGGAGAGGTGTGAGAGGGATGGACTCTGAACAGAGCCCTGGAATCATTGACCTCGCTTGGCTCATACCCTGACCCCCAACTCTCCCCCACCGCCACCGGTAGTGGGTCCTGGGAGTGCTGGGGACCCCTACTCTGGCAGGCCAGGACAGAAGCCGAATTTGGAGTAGGCAGGAGGATTATTTGTAGGAAGAAAATGGGGGTAAAAACTTTTTTGTAGTAGAAACAGGGTTTTAATGTAATATTCAACTCTAGCATTTTTATTTACAACAAATAAATATTGCTCCACCCCAATCCGTAAACACTTTCTTCTTTCTGTGCAGATATTCAGTTGCCCCTCCCTTCCCAACCCCATCTCGTGCGGTGTGGCCCAGCGAGGGTGCGTGGTGCATGGGCTTGCCGTGTGAGGTGTGTCACCCACAGGGCTTCCTCATTCTCTGGGCGGAGAGCTCACTCTGCTCAGCCCTGGCATGGGTTCTGGTGCAGCCCGAAAGAGGCCGGAGCGGTGGGAGGAGGGGCCGGGACCCCGTGGGCACTAGGAGAGAACTGAAGTGGGTGGACCCGCAGATTGAGTGGGTGCCCTGGGGCGTGGGGGGCACAGGTGGCAGTGCCTGCACCTGGGAGCATTTCAGGGAAGTGTAGGGAGGGCAGTGCCTGGGGGTGGGCGAGGGCACCATGCCCACTGGCAGTTCTCCTTGGCAAAAGTCAGCTAATCCTGGGGGCACCTCGGGCATCGAGCAGTCCACGGAGGCCACGTCAGCCTGTGGGGTGGCAGTTGACAATCCTGGCAGCTGGAGAGGTGTTGCTCAAACTGAAGACAGGTAGCAGGTGGACAGAAGCTACCTGCTTGGCCTGGGTCACTCTGGCTGTAAGTGCTGAGCTGTTGGCCAGGCCCTGGGGAAATGTTCCTAAAAGATGCTCTTGGCAATCTTGGGACCTTTCTGATTCGTGCAAGAGAGGGTTGAGGTGGCCCCAGGCTTGACCTTTGCTGCTGTGGCAAAGGGGCACTTTCAGGGTAGAGTCATAGTTGGTGGTAGAGTTCATGGCATAGAACTCGTTGGTATCTCCAGGGATCCTTGGCTTTTCCAGCCTCTGAAATGATCAGCACCAGCTCGTAGTTCACTGGTTCATCTTTTTCAAGGGTGTGTTTGTCTGTGTCCTCGCGGCTGACCGTGGGAGCCTTCTCCTGGCCGGTCCCAGGATGCTCTTGTACATGTTGCCGATGTCCACGTTCAGGCTGACGAAGACAACACGGCAGTCACCTGCTTGCCGGCTGCAGAGCGTGGAGCTGTGGCTGTAGACCCCTGAGATGGAGTGCTTGTGGCTGTGTGTGGTAGCCAAAGGCGTGGTGCAGGCTGACAAGGATGCTGCTGGAGGCCGACACCCAGAGCTTCTTTTCTTAGCCATCGGGGGACTCGGAGACCAAGCTGATGTTGATCTCCTCCTCTTCCTCCTCCACCTCGGAGCTGGAGGTGCCTGCTGAGTGCACACTGAGTGTGTCGGAGATGTCCCCACTGCCAAGAGCTGATCACAGGACTTGGAGAGGGAGCTGAGCTGCCGTTGGTAATGAGCTCGGTGCTGGGGCCTGCAGTCAGTCTAGCACTTGACAGTGGCTGTGCTCTTCTTGGACTTGAGGGTCCTGGTCGACTCAGACAAGGGCTTCGGCTCTTATGACAGGGTGCAGCTCTTAGCCTTGCTGAGCTACTCCAGAGCCAGGAACCAGCCCCAAGGTGCTCCTTGATCTGGGTCCTCACTTCGAATTCCTTCCTTCTCCTCTCAAAGTTGATCAGTCCCCCATATGGACAGTGCTTCATGGCAGTGTCCAGCACCATGAGGTCAGTGAGGAAGGTGCCCAGGTAGGGGACGGTGCCCCAATGTCTCCTCTGCCTGCCTTTGAGCTTTCCTGGGCTCATCTCGAGGGTGGCAAACTTGGAGGTCCCTCCTTGATGAGCAGCATTGTAATTATTCTCATCAGAGAAAATTTCAGACAGCTCCTGGAACATCCCGAGTCTGTCCCTGGCGACACCGTGCCATGTCTGCCGGTGGTGGATGGTGTTGCTTTGCAGAGCAGAAAGGATGGCATGCATACAGCCACAAGAAGTTCTTCAGGAATCGCCACTCCCTGGCCACTTTGATCCAGGGCTCCACCTGTCCAGGGCCTTCCCGTTCCAGTTCTGAAGGAAGGTGGTGATGATACAGTCGGTCACATTGTTGAACTAGGTGACAGCGGCATGGCTGGTGGGTGCCAGGGGCTCCTTGCCCTTCTTGTCCTGCTGGAAACAGATGGAGCCCAGAGAGTGGCAGGGTACCACCTTCTTGAACAGCCCCACATCCATCAGTGTGAATCACCAGATCAGGAGGGAAAACCAAAACAGGAGGCTTCTCCTGGCTCAGCCCGTTCTCTGTGACCACAGGCAGAGGCCAGGGCAGCTCTACCAGTGGCCTGGGCCCTGGGACCGGTTCCAGCTCTAGAGTTTGTGACAGAGCTGGGGGCTGGGGATTTAGCTCAGCGGCGTCCCACCCGCCTGACAAGTACAAAGTCCTGAGTTTGATTCCTAGTGCAAGGGTGGGGGAAGAAAGAGATGTGACAGAGCTGGCTCTAGCTCCACAGCAGGCCCAGCAGCTGGCTGGAGCTCTAGAGCAGTCTCGGAGCTGGCTCTTGCTCAGAAGTTGGTGCCACCTGCAGCTCTGGGCCTGATGCTGGTGCTGATATTGGAGTGGATGTCAGAACTGGTATTGGAGCTGGTTTTAGAGCCAGCACCAGAGCTGGTGACAGAAACCTCAGGCTCAGCATCGAGGGGCTTCAAGTCCTCCAGCTGGGCCAGGAGAAGGTGGGTGTGGTGCTCCAGGTCTGAGCCAGGCGTACCAAGCTTCACATAAGCCACCAGCTGCTTGAGGCAGGGAAAGTCTGGAGGTTGACAGAAATCCTCCAAGTCCTGGTCCAGCCAGGTGCCCAGGACGGAGGAGATGGTGTATTTGAGTTGGCCCTGTGACCCGCTGACCTTGCTGGGGTAGGAGAGCATGCAGCCCTATCTTTGGAGGAGTGGGCCCAGCACCTGCTGGGTGCTGGTGAAGGCTCTACAGGTACACAAGAAGGAAAAGCTCACTGCTCTGCAAGGCGGGCACCAGGTGCTCCACCAAGCTTCTCCAGCATGTCTGCCTTCACAGTCTGTACCTCGCAGGTCTCCTGAGATTCAGGGCCAGCTCGTTCTCACACTGTAATCCCGGCTACTTGGGAGGCTGAGGCCAGGAGATCATGAGCTCAGGGCAGGCCTGGGCAATCTGGCAAGACCCCCGAGCCCACCACGCTGGTCCGTGCTGGCTCCGTGCTGCAGCTGCACGTTGCTCAGGGAGATGGAGCAGGTGACTGCCTCGTTCTGCACCTCACCTGTCTCCTGTGTGGGCTTCTCCGGGTGCGGCAAGTCTGGGTCAAGTTGCATGAAGCTGCTCAGCACCAAAGGCCGCTGTCAGGGACACCCACCTCTTGGCACACAGTGCCCCTGATAAAGGGGGAGGAGCTGGAACTCCCAAACCAGATATCTGAAACGTGAGTTCGTGATCTCTACAATTGGAGAATGAATTCTCGGAACAACAGAGGTTCAGAGTAGGAAAAATTTATCAAGTGAAAGAAAGCTTCTGTCTAAGAGAGACAGAAGGGGGACCAGGAAGTGTGTTGCCGGCTCATCCCACTTCTCAAAGATGTTTTATACGTCCAAGGCATGTGGTGAGGTGGTTGCAAAGTGGGAAAAAACTGTACGGCCCAGTGGAAATTTACAAGATGGGCATGAGGTGGGGCAGAACCACAACCAACCAATGAGATTACAAGTATAGTCACCCAGGTAATATTGATTAAATGGGGGTCAAATGGGGGAGCAAGTCTCATAGCAAACGTACAGGGATTTTTCAGTAAGGGTGGGGGTTAGGGATATTTCCTGGAAAAGCTAAGTCCTTGGCCCGCCCCCAGGTGATTGATACTTGTTTAAAATATCAGTCACTGCTGTTTATCCCCAGGGGAAACACAAGGGTTGTAGTAGTTTCTCTCCTTTTACAGTTCTGGCCTTCAGTGAAATGCATCTTGATCGTCCTCATCCTCCACGTTGGCTTCCTGAGGTCTGGCTCCTTGAGGGTGACCCTGCCTAACTGCCTGCAAGATCTCTAATTAACTGTGTAGTCCAGGCTGGCCCCAAATTTGTGCCCATCCCACCTCAGTCTTCCAAGCGCTAGAATTACAGGTTTGCACCATGCCAGGCTTATTTATTTATTTATTGGTTTTTGAGACAGGGTCTCACTAGGTAGTTGAGACTGACCTGGAACTCATT